ATTTACCTTAGGAGACCGGTTTGGGATTATTAATGTAGATAAGCGGTCCGAATTAGGCCGAATTTGGGGTCTACTTTTTCCGCATCTCCCCCTCCCCACCACGACCTCTATGGGGGCCCCTCGGCTAGTGGAACGCCTCCCCTCCTCCATGCCGCAGTCCAAATCCAAGATCTTAGTTTCTGTTTCATTAGTTGTTTGGTTTGTTGGCGCTTTTTTTGCCAACTCCCTTGATTCCCTTTCTCCCCCCCTCCCACCTCATTGTTGTCCACAGACTCCAGCCCGCTTCCTCCCTTGCCCCTTCCACTAGTCACTAGTAACAAGGACAATACAAATAGGGGAATAGGGGGCCACATGGGTAATAATAGTACACTTCAGTGAGATTGATAGTAATGAAGTGTAGTATACGTCTCAGCTGTGACAATTAGATAGTTCATAAAGTGCAAGAGTCTTAGAGTGCAATTGCAGTAGGCGTCACGGTTGCGTGCCACTAGGGCAACTCATAAAGTGCAAGGATCATAAAGTGCAGCAACGTCCAAATCTGACTCTGACGCTATCTAAAGTGCGGCATGGAGGGAAAGGGAGAGGGAGCGTAAATGCTAGTTCGATTTGGCAGCAAGAGAGGCAGGGTTAAACCGCTGAGCTGCTGAACTTGCTGACCCAAAGGTCACTGGTGAGCTCCTGCTGTTAGCCCCAGCTTCTGCCAACCTAGCAGTTCAAAAACATGCACTCCAGGTTTCTATAACATTGAGGGTACATCTACACTGTAGAAGAAATGCAGTTTGATCCCACTTTAACTGCCATGGTTCAACGCCATGGATCCCTGGGATTTATAGTTTGGTGTGACACCTGCACTTTTTGACAGGGAAGGCTAAAGACCTTAACAAACTACAATTCCCATGATTCCATAGCACCGAGCAATGGCTGTGAAAGTGCTGCTGAACTGCATTAATTTTCAGTGGTGCCGTGGGTTAAACCGCTGAGCTGCTGAACTTGCTGACCCAAAGGTCACTGGTGAGCTCCTGCTGTTAGCCCCAGCTTCTGCCAACCTAGCAGTTCAAAAACATGCACTCCAGGGTTCTATAAGATTGAGGGTACATCTACACTGTAGAAGAAATGCAGTTTTGATCCCACTTTAACTACCATGGTTCAATGCCATGGATCCCTGGGATTTATAGTTTGGTGCGGCACCTGCACTTTTTGACAGGGAAGGCTAAAGACCTTAACAAACTACAATTCCCATGATTCCATACCATCGAGCAATGGCTGTGAAAGTGGTGCTGACCTGCATTAATTTTCAGTAGTGCAGTGGGTTAAACCGCTGAGCTGCTGAACTTGCTGACCCAAAGGTCACTGGTGAGCTCCCGCTGTTAGCCCCAGCTTCTGCCAACCTAGCAGTTCAAAAACATGCATTCCAGGTTTCTATAACACTGAGGGTACATCTACACTGTAGAAGAAATGCAGTTTGATCCCAGTTTAACTACCATGGATCCCTGGGATTTATAGTTTGGTGTGGCACCTGCCCTTTTTGACAGGGAAGGCTAAAGACCTTAACAAACTACAATTCCCATGATTCCATAGCATCGAGCAATGGCTGTGAAAGTGCTGCTGAACTGCATTAATTTTGAGTGGTGCAGTGGATTAAACCTCTGACCTGCTGAACTTGCTGACCCAAAGGTCACTGGTGAGCTCCCGCTGTTAGCCCTAGCTTCTGCCAACTTAGCAGTTCAAAAACATGCAAATGTGAGTAGAGCAATAGGTAGCACTCCGGTGGGAAGGTAACGGCGCTCCATGCAGTCATGCCGGCCACATGACCTTGGAGGTGTCTATGGACAATGCCGGCTCTTTGGCGTAGAAAGGGAGATGAGCACCAGAGTCAGACACAACTGGACTTAATGTCAGGGGAAAACTTTTTACTTTTTACTACCTTGAATGCTTTAGAACCCTGGGAGTTATAGTTTGCTGAGCCACTAGCAGATTATTTTCAAATAAATTGATCCCCGCACCCAGACTAAAACGGCATCTTTTTAACAATGCAGATTTTCCTTTTGTGCCAATCTGCTTTCCTTGGTGTTCTTGTTTGTTTGGGTATCTTTCACATCCAAAATGAGAACACTTCAATTCCACATTTTACTCCCCTGGCACTATGCTATAGAAATGTGGGATTTGTAGTTTGGGGAGGTATTTAGAACTCTGTGCTGAAGAGCTCTAGTTTCCATCAAAAAACTGGAGGTTAACAGAAAGTAGTAGGCAAAATTGTACCAAAGTGCTATAATTGCATTGTGCGGAGGAGAATTGTGTTTGGATAGACAATGGACATACTATTCTATTTTCAGGTTGGAGCAAAGAATGAGAATGTCTTTTTCCAGCTCTTAGAAAAGAAGGATATTGGTGGGTTGGGATTATAGACAATAGAATAACACCATGATTGTTGTTATGACTACTATTGTGGTTGCTATTGTTATTATTGCCATTATCTCTGCAAAATTGCAGCATCTTGAACTGGAATTGGTTTTTGAGACTAAGCGTAAAGCATTGCAAACTCCTCTGTCTTGGGTTTTTATAGGTTTTTTCAGGCTATATGGCCATGTCCTAGAGGCATTTTCTCCTGACGTTTCGCCTGCATCTATGGCAAGCATCCTCAGAGGTAGTGAGGTCTGTTGGAACTAGGAAAATGGGTTTATATATCTGTGGACAATTTCAACAGAAAGGAAGAAACCATGAAAATGAACAAAATCTGGCTACCAGTATTAAAAAACACAAAAAATTACAAGAGCAATAACAACAGAGAGTAAACAATCAGGCACATCAAATCACTCTCAACAAAAGATTCCCCCCAGGCACTGCCAAGCCGTTAAATGCTAATCAAGGTGGTCAGTTGAAACATTCACACCTATGTAAATCGGAAGCCCATCCACCCAGGCTTTATGGACTCCCAAAAATCCATAAGGACTCCACCCCACTC